GTCTTTGCAACACTCATTGTCATTGTATCCTTGATCATGATCTTTATAGTGGGACCCCGACATGGGCAGACCAACATTCTCGTGTACATAACAATTTGCTCAGTCATTGGAGCTTTATCTGTATCCTGTGTAAAAGGTTTGGGTATCGCTATAAAGGAACTTTTTGCAGGAAAAGCTGTGCTGAAACATCCATTGGCGTGGATTCTGCTGCTTAGTCTTATTGCTTGTGTAAGCACACAGATTAACTATTTAAATCGGGCCCTGGACATATTCAACACTTCTATAGTGACACCAATCTATTATGTGTTCTTCACAACATCTGTTTTAACCTGTTCTGCGATCCTCTTCAAGGAATGGCAACACATGGCAGCTGATGACATTATTGGCACATTAAGTGGCTTTATCACTATAATCGTGGGAATATTTTTATTGCATGCCTTTAAGGATGTCAGTTTTTCCCTATCAAATTTGCCTATGACATTGCATAAAGATAACAAGGGAATAAATGGCTGTGTGCCAAGCACATATGAACTATTTAATCACGATGAAGAAAGTGCAACTCGCATAAGTGACCTACATTCCCCTGATGGAATATCTTCCAGGAGAAATGGAAATCTGTCAATCTCCTAAAGAAAACAATTCTGTAACTTTTGTTTCATTGTGAAAAGCCAGATTTACAGCATTTTTCAATTGGATATATTTAAATAGTACTGTAGACAATCATTTTTTTAGGTTTGACTAGCTTGGTCAAAGAACAGTGGTGGATTTTTATTTGCCTTACTCTTAATTTAAAAATACTAAAGAACCTCACTCTGTTATTTGCTTAACTTAGTATGAACATGTAAATATTCTGTTTTGGTTTAAGACTTCTTGCACTAATGACAATTTTAACAAATAAAATGCTTTATTTCTGATGAGGAAATGATCTATTGGTCTTAGGTAAAAGTGAAGGTAAAGGTTCCCCTTGTACATATGTGCATATGTCCCCTTGTACAATGCACATTTCAGGCTCTAGGTTAAGGGTTTGGTCTTGCACATCTACAAATCTTTTATGGTAATTTGGTGAATTATGCAGTGACTTGTTCTTATTATAAATCACTGCTACTCATCTATAAAGTATATTTGGCAATTTATGATCAGCTCCACTCAAATGTATTAGATTCTATGAGATTTGCAGTTGCAACCAATGTGTTTTTAGTTGATGAACCAGACATTCCCGAGGAACAAGGCTTAAGTGATATCAGCTCACAAAGGCTGTTACATAGAAAAATGTTATTTTAAGAAAGTATCTAGGTGTAAACCATGTTTGTATATATTAGCACTTACCCGAAACACAAATACTTAGCAGTTTCAAGTATTTAAAGTACTTCATGTTGAGATTACTGCTGGATAATGCATAACAATTAGCAAATTTATTCATTCCGTTATTGAAAGTGGGGTGAAAGAATAAAATAAACTTGCCTCTTTCCCCCCCATCCCCCTTTCCAGCCTTTCTACTGTAACAACTATTACCTGCATGGTTTGACACTCTGTTCTTCTGGAACACCAAATGCAATAAAAAATCAATGTACCTTTCTACTCCATCTAAAGCAGAGACAAATCAACAGCCAAAAGCCAGGCTTAGATGTGCTTGTAAAATGGAGGAATGCCTATAGATTATGGTTCAGCTTCTCTATATGGAAGAAAAAAGTTGAGAAGCTGACCTTCAAAATAGGGAAGGTGAAAACTAACTGAGACTGAGCTGGAAAAAGCTTAAAAGAGAATAAATTAAATATCCCGATAAAATGCAATTGGAAAAGAGCATCAAATGCCAATTGTTTAATCTACCTCCATCAATTGATTGCATTCAGAGTTAGAAAAAAAGTCTCAAAATGTTTGCAAGAACAAAAATGCAATGAAATTAGATGTTTCAGTTAATGGCTGAAGGCATCTGTTGTGGGAAGTAGTGTGGATTATTGTAGCAGTTTTTAGGTGTTCTGCAATATAGCTTATCATATACCAATCAAGAACTCTTTTGGTAAGTAACGAAGTAATCAGATGTGATGTTAGTTGTGGCAATTCCACTTGCCGTCATTATGCAAGTCCCACCCAGTTGTAATGTCCCATAGTCACAGGATAGGCCTGATGGCTCCTCCACTGACTTTACTTGTTAGAAGTAAACAGTGAAGGCTGCAAACTGTGATCATGTGACTGCAGGATGCTGTAAAGGCCACAATCATGAGACCTTATAGTAGGTACTCCTTGTTCAGCACCATAACTAGGAAAGGCTGTCAAACATTAAACCAGGACTATCCATATAGTCTTTTAAAGCAGGGTTAGGCAAGCTTTTAACTGGAACTGGCCCAGGGTTCACCATAACTGGGGAGGGACCCCTGTATGGTTGGTGGGTGGTCGGCTGCTGTAGCAATGGGAGCGTGTGACTCCAGCATTCAAAAAGCGGAAGCTCCCAGCGCTGACTTTATTCCTCTATGCCTTTATTCCTTTTGGTTTCCTGCTTTGGAACTCATTGTGTGCCAAGAATCCAGCTTATTAAACCCTTTAGAACTCAAAGTGAGTGGAGTCCTTATGGTAGTTTTGGTCCGGAGCTTTGACCCTTGAGAAGAGCAAAAACCTCTTGGCAGACGGCTTATCCCAAGTGCCACAATACAACAGCCGCTGGGAGGAGGTGGTACATGCCATTATTCCCCCCACTCAACAAGCCGTTCAAATATCGGCCTGGCGGCCTGCAGTGAATGCAGACCGGCTGACCCGTAACCTATAGGCAGAGTTACTGACCAAACCCTAGTTCCTAGAGCACTACCAACTGCTTACTCAAGAAGGGTTAGTGTGGAAGGGCAGTACATTATATGTGCCACATACCCTGAGGTCACAGGTGCTACGGCAATGCCATAATGTCAAACAGTCTGGACACTTTGGGTTCCTCAAAATCCTACATCTAGCTAAGAGACAATTCTAGTGGCCACAACTGAATAACGATATAGAGACCTATGTCAAAACCTGTTCAGTCTGTGAAACAATGAAACCCCTATCAGAGAAATCCCCTGAACTCTTGCAGTCCATGGCTGACCCAATCTGGCCATAGGAGAAAATAGCCATGGACTTCATCATAGAGCTCCTAGAGAGCAATGGCCATACTGTCATATGGAATGGACAATCATTATTTTCCAAACAAGCCCATTTTGTGCCATATTCCATTTGCCATCAGCACAGAAATTGGCTAGGCTTTTCCTCACACACATCTACTGCCTCCACGGGATCACATGGAGAACCTCAGATCGGGGGAGCAGTTTATGGCCAAATTCTGGAGGGAGTTCAACCGATTGGATCCTCCCAAGGTCTAAGCTTGGTTTTCCACTCGAGTTCTAATAGGGCGGTGGAGAGAACTAATGCAATGGTGGAAAGACTGGGCAGAACTGCCATTTGCGGAGATGGTATAGAACAATGCTGTGTACAGGAGCACAGGCTTTACCCCCTTCAGGAAAGTTAATGGAGTGGAATTCGTCCCCATTCCTGAATACCCTCAGATAGCTCCTTCCCCCACTAGCCAAAATGAGTGGATGAAAGCGGCTGGAACCCAGAAGGTCCAGACTGATGAGGAACGAGCTCCACAAAAGCCTTTCCAAATGGGGAGAAGGTGTACCTCTTGACCAAGTACTTGAGGTTGAAGGTTCCGTGCTGGAAACTGGGACCAAAATTCCTGGGCCCCTTCCCCATTATGAGGATAATCAACCCAGTTACCATGGAGCTGAAACTTCCTAGGCTGTTTGGGAAAGTATATCCGGTCTTCCATAACAGTCTGCTGAAGCCCATAGAAGTAGCCAACAACCGGCCCATGCCATCGCTGGTACCCAGTCCTATAATGAGGGGAAGGAGACCCATTATGAGATCGACCAGGTGTTGGATTCCCAAATACATAGGGGAAGACTGCAATACCTGGTACACTGGAAAGGATACCCAATAATGGAAGCCTTCTGGGTGGCAAGTAGGAATATTAGAGCTACCCAACTGATAAATTCCACAGGGACCATCTCAGCAAACCAGGGAGAGATAGGAGAGGTCAGGCTTGAGGGCCTGCTAACATGATGCTTGTGCTTATGATGTTACAGGTGCGGCCCTGGTAGAGAGGAGCCACCTGTCAAACCCTGGCCCGGGGTTCACTATACCTGTGGGGAGGGACCCTTGCACGGGTGGTGGGACTGTTCCTGACCAAAGGCTGCAGGCGGTGAGGACAAGACAATGATCAGCTGTTCCTGACGATCAAGCCGGCTCAACGATCAACTGTTTGGAGTTGCCTGCAGCCAGGCAACAACCAGCTGATCAGGCCTGTCAAGAGTGTTGGCTGCTGTGGCGATGAGAGACCGTGGCTCCAGCATTCAAAATGCACTGTGAGGTGGAGGCTCCCAGTGTTGACTTTATTCCTGTATGTCTTTATTCCTTTTGGTTTCTTGTTTTGGAACTCACTACGTGCGAGAATCCAGCTTATTAAACCCTTTGGAATCTAAAGCCAGTGGTGGTTTAGGTCCGGAGCTTGGACATTGAGAGAAGTGCTACAGTGAGCCGAGGTATATAGTGAAAATGAATAGGATAATGACTTCCCATTTTTCTTTATTTCTGGAGGTTATCCCAAGTTAGCCTATTTTAACATTTAGAAAAGAAATTTATGGCAGAGTTCCATAACATTACAGTGGGATTGAATAGTTCAAAATCTATCACATTGTGTTAACCAAGCTAAATATTTTGTAAATTTAGTCTATGTGTTTCCTACTTCAAATTAGAAAGAAACTCTTATGGCTATGAATTGATCATCTCTGCTCTTAGGCATGATAATCTATAATCTTAGAATTGTTTGCATTGTATTAGAAATTGTAATATTATTGCCTACGTTATAATGCAATTAGGCTACCTAGAAAATTGGATACAGAGATCATCTCTCTTGCAAACGTCTTGACTTGATACATAATTGAAACAGTAATTTTTAGACCAGAAAAGCCAAACAATACTTTAAAATTACAATAATATTTAATTCAGAAGTTTGAGAAAATAGAGAGAACCCTTAGAATACTGTTAATAATTGAACCATGACTCATCAAAGTATAATTCTTGAACAGTTAAGAGTCTGAAGATAATTTTTCTAAAACTAAATAACCCTTGAAACAGCTGGTAAGTATAAGTAAGCTGTGTTCCCTACATACTATTCCACAATAATTCCACCTTCAACTTTCTTTCCAATTAGATATAAAAACAGGATTCAGATTTACCAATTGTATGAGAAGCTTAAAAAAAAGTTCTTTATTCTAAGGATATTAACCAATTCCCTAAATCTGAATAAACATGAAGCATTAATTATTTCTATCTTACAATCATACTTTTAAAATCTCATTAAAATCTTTTATTTCCAAAGTTGATTACATTATGGGGTGAAATAGTTTTCTAAAGAGAACGTTCTATTGATTAAAAATAAACGGAGTGTCTTTAAAAGGTAAGCTGAGCAGTTTAATACTTTCCTTACACAAAAACATTTCAAGCATACTCCTATAATAAAATTCACTTTTGTTAGCAAAAGTAAATAAAGATCCCTTATATTAAGCCTTTAAAACAATTATAAAAACTGGAGAAATGCAAAGATTTATGCCTAAAATAGTTGCATTGCAAAGTGTTTTATCAAAAGTATTTAAAAAGTAGTCTAAAAACTGAAATTTGTGTACAGTCATTGAGTTTGAAGACAACCATTCAAACATTTTAGTTGAACCTGGAAAGCAATGAAGATCAGGGCAGTCTCCCTTAGGCAAGAAATCTAGTTTCAAAAAGTGCTGCAACTGACCATTGTTTCCAAAAAGATCACGGGTCTTTTCTAGTTGCTGGCCAAAGACTGATGAATGGGAGGTTGGAAACAGCGGACATGTTCCACCGGTGTGCTTTCTCCATCACCAGATTTCAAATACTTGTCCAGTGTGGCAATAATTTCATCATTCAAGATCTGGAACTTGCGAATTCTCTCAACCATTTTTTTTAAAGGCTACAAAACGAAAATTATAATCAGTAAAAGGAAAAGGAGGCAAAATGAAACACAACGTGAGAAATAAACCTTGGTCAAACCTACCACATTCTTGATGACTTCATCTTTGCCATCATGCTTCTGGACTTTCAGTAAGTGATAACAGAAATCGAGCACATCAAATCGACGCTGCTGTCCCAAGAGCACAATAATCATACAGCCAGCCCAATGCAGCCCATCTCCAAAACATTGTCTACGAAGTAAAAGTGTAGAGAAAGCGCTACATTATATTCAGTAGGGAAAATCAGGATTCTGGATTCCCAATTCCAAGTCTGTTACAACAATTAACAATGTTGACTGAATGTTTTGCAGAATGTTGCAATATATTATTATATGGTATTGCTAATACTGTAAATATGCAGTCAAATACTATTTTTCAGAATGGCAGGATCCATTCAGGATAGGATTTTAGATTTAGTGGCGAAATGGATGCCTTAAGCATATGTCTCTTTAACCATTAAAAAATGCAAAGAAAGAGCCAAATGGATTTGAACTACTTTGTGTTGGCTTTTTTGAATTCTGTCTGCTTCCTGTTGGCTTTTTGGGGATCAGAAAAACATAGCTTGCGTGTTTTTAGCATGCATTTCTGCATGCATTTCTGCATCCCTGCCTAATACTACTGTATGCTATTTTTGCCTCATTATACCATCTTTAACTTCATACACTTCTAAAGAAATAATTATATGAAACAGAACCACCCAAAAACTAAAAACTGATTTGAAATGTCCTACGTTTAGATGCTGAAAAACAAAGAATCATTGTAATCATAATCAATTGTGTGTCATTAGATTATCATTTCTGCATTTATCAAACTACATTTAAAATAGTATTTTAACCTGTTGGTCTAATGTAAGTAATTATTAAAGTCTTAAGACTGATCATCCAAGTGCATTTGAGTAATGAAGCTGTACCAGCATTAATATACGGTTTACTGATATTTGCAAAGGTATTAAGAGTTTAGTGATGCAGTAAATTCTTAATTCTTTAGTTATATCAGTCACATCTAACTTCTGAAATAAAAATAAAGCATTAATAACAATGCCTTTGCCAATATTTGGATACATACTCCACAGTAAATTCATGGGTTCCTACTGGAATACAGTATACAAACTGCATTGCACTCCAAAGGCGATGAAATTCCACACACTCATCTACATGCATCACCCCATTGCTAGGGAGGGGGCCACGCCATATGGGATCATCCAGGAATATTCGAATCCTTGTTAAGATGACTTCAAACATAGAAAGTCCACAGCAGAGACGCTCCTTGGTTAGCAAATCTCCTTCTCTTGCAATGGCAATTTGCTATAATTGCAACCAACAATACAGTATCAGTCTACAAAAAACTTACTAATGAGTTTCAAATAGGATAGAAAATTATACTTTCCCATCCTATTTTAAATTGTTTTTACTTAATTACTGAAATTTAAATGAAAGTCATACAAAATAATCTATGTGTAATGAAAATGAACTAAAACTTGAAAAATAAAATGAATACAATATTAACATATAACCAGATCACTCTTTTAACACATTAAATCTACATGATAGATTTCTACAATTGAAAGACAAAAATCAATAAAGATTTTTCCCCATTCTTTTAACAGAATGTGTTGTGTTCTTTTCACTTGCAGAGGGTAATTCTCATCACTGACTCCCAAGGTCATTAAACCTAGAATTCTATACAAAGCGTCATAATTTGGAATGAAATTCCACGTTGTGTTTACATCATTGGCTATTAGGGCTTCCTCAGTGTTGTATTAATGGTTGTAGTGATTGAATCCAAAAAGAGCCATAAGGCAGCATAACCATACTAATATTTGAAAAAAAAAATCTTCCTTGCATTTTTCTTTTCTTTTTTTCAGATCAACCAAATGTTTCTCCATTAGTTGCAACAAAATGGTCAACTGGCTTGTTGCCTGGCCCAGATGAGAGACATACAAGAAACTGGGACTGATGCAGACAGCCACTGCCCTGTCTCCCCATCACCAACACCCTTCGCACCACCCAGCTCCCTGCCAATACTGCCTCCCCCCTGCTGATGCCCTGCGCCCAACTGACACCTCTCCTCCACTGACACAGATGCGGGCTGGACAGGGTCAGCCCACAGACCAAATGTGGCGTGCTGACACCTGCAGGTGTAAAATGCCCAAGTCTGCCCTAGCCTGATATTGTGGGCTGAGAGTTACTGGTCCAAAGTTACCCAGCTGACTTTCAAGCATAAGGCAGGACTAGAAGTCATGACCGACTAGTTTTGAGCCTGGTGCCTTAACCACTAGACTAAATTTGCTCTCAACATTCAAAGTATATCTATATCTCAAACAAAATGGCACAAAATATTGACAAAATACTCCTTAAGCCATCTTAAGCAAATATTTTTCTAATGAATGGAATTGATAAATAAGACTATTATTTTCTTTTGGAACATATGAAAATTGAATATTCAAGGGGTTTTTTTTTCTCCCAATAAGAGGAAAATAATGTATCTGTAAACCTTAAATATATGTAAGTAAAAAAAGGAGGGGAATCTTCTTTGATTCTCACTAATTCATATTGACATATTTGTGCAGTTTCTTGGTATAGTATGAAAATAGTTTTCACTCTCTTTTGTTTCAGTATCCCAGTTTACTTTACAGTCCTGTTCTGCCAAATAGTTTCTCCATCCAAATATTAATTGTGGCCAATCCTATTTAGTGTTCTAAATCACATAATCTGGCTAGCTGGTGTTGTTGTATGGCACATAACTCTCTAAAATCTGAATCATGAATCCACTGAGATAAAATCTCATTCTGTAGAAATCACATTACTAATTCAACCAACGTAGGATGCCAAAAAGCTCTTTCCTCTACACAGTGGTAAGCAAATACGTAAAAGGGCAATTCTGTAAAAAAAAAAACATAAAAGACTACCTGAGGTGTTCCCAATCTTTCAATCAATGGAACAAGGTGGAGTGGAGCGTATTTTGTTTCTAGTCTCTTCAGTTTAGCATCAAGTCTTTCCCCCTCTGGAAACAGAAAAAGAGAATAAAATGTAACTTATTTTTCATTTATTTACTGTACTGTTCTTTTATCCCAACTTTCTGCATTCAGTGTCTTAAGGAGGCTAATAAAGCCTGTTCCAGCTTAACGTTTTGTTTGATTTATTTCACCATCACGTTTTATACATCCGAGAGTACAAAATAAACACTAACATTAGATCTTTATATAATGCAGAAAAACATCCTAATTTTTAAAATGCACCTGGCTTATACATCTCATGAAAGGAAATGTTCTGTGGCAAATATCTGACAAAGATGACACATTTTCTTAACTACTAAGCGAGAAGAAGGACTGATGAAATCTCATTTTGTAAACTAGCAGGATGTGTAAATGATACAAGAAAAAATAAGGAGAAAAAAGTGCTCAAAACAAAACTTAGATGAGGAAAAAGTATAAAGTGCAGAAAGTCACTTCATTAATCACACTAAGTTGCTCCAGCCATTTAAGCTGCTTCATCTACTCTCTGTACAATAGATATGCACTACTTATAACAAAGGACTTCTTTAATTCTGATACAAATGTGTGCTGTGCTTCATTAGCTTCTTGTCTTGATTTTGCACATTGACAGCGTAATTTGGCACAAGTATTGCGGTTGAAAAGCCATAGGAAAAAGCATACCCTTGACATGAATTCTTGGTAAAATATTCTGGAATGGTGCTGCATGCAATAGATCACACACTTCCTCCAACGACTGCAACAAAGAGAATAAAGATGTAACACTAGAGAGCTGTGATTGGGAATCTCTGACTGCAACACTGAAGTCGTTGGCTGATTTTGAACTGAAGTAGAAATACCCCCAAAAGAGAATATTTTTCCATGTGTTCTTGAAAGAAATTGGCCGGTGTCCCCATGTATAGGAACCGTTTCATAAATGGGGAAAATGAAAAGAGAAATACTGCTGAGAAGCATGGTTAATCCTACTCAAACTGCAAGCAGCAATGCCAGGGTAGTGAGCATTACATTTTTTAAACTTGCAAGATATAGTGTGATGGTTTTCTTTTAGTAGATTTGCCTCAGTGTAAAAGTTTTTTTTTAATCAGAATAGGAACATAGTTTTATGGGCAGAATAAAATGTTATTTTATGAGCAAAGCAATTAAGCCACATAGCATAGTTTATCAAAAAAGCGTAACACAAATTATTAATTTGCATTGTTCAAGCAGCAGATGGAAAGATGTCAACTGAACACTGAATTAAGCTTTTGTTTTCAACATTATTCTAAAATCCACTATTTGCTATAGGATAGTTTTCACAATAGAGCCCAAAAACCAGGAAAGTAATGACAGGGCTCTCATTTTTAAAAATGGTATCTTTAAAATGTACTAAATTTGATAATTGCTCATTTAGACACTTAACAACACCAGTGAAACCATCAGTGCCAGGAGGCTGTTTTGTATTCCAACAGCACTAAAAATTCAGGCAGGTCACCTTCACAAGGTAGCAAACAGGGTTGTTTTCAGAATATACTTTCAATATGCCAAATGAAGGAAGGAAATACACAGATTATGCTACTGGCCATTTACAGCAGAGGTTTTTCTTCCCAATGATTATTCCAGCTAGTTTGGCAGAACTTTCAAATAAGTATAGTCACCACCATGCAAAGCCCCATTTTTTAATACATATACGTGTCAATGCAAATTTTAAAAAGGCAAACTGTCAGTAACATAGTCACTACTACCATCTTAACTTCTTTAACCACTTATGTAAACAAACACCTTAGATCAGTGGTCCCCAACCTTTTTTGTACCAGGGACCAGTTTCACCCAGAAACACTTTTTCAAGGAGGGGGACGACGACGACGACGACACACTTTTTCAAGGAGGGGGGGAGGGGGAGGAGTCCGAGTTTGGTGGTTTGCTTGCAGACGTTTCATTACCTGACTAGATAACATCTGATGTTGTTACCTAGTCGGGTAATAAAACGTCTGCCAGCAAACCACCAAGTTCAGGGAGGCTCAGGACAAGTCCCTGCAGGATGGCTGAGAAGCCCCGTCTCTCAGCCCTGCCTCCCTCAGCCTCATCCCTCAGGTGTCTCCCTCCCTCCCTCCCTCAGCCTTATCCCTCAGGTGTCTGCCTCGTTCCTCTCTCAGTCGCTCTCTCGCTCCTCCACCAGCCCAGGAAGAAACTGCTTCAAAGAAGCCAGCAGGGTGGCTTTTCCTGTCAGCGCAGCTCCTCTGAAGCGCCCGTTCACCCCCACCCCGCCGCCCGCGGTTCAATCCAGTGCTCCGTTCTGCCTGCCTCCCTTCGTTTCTGGTTGTTTCAGAGCAGCTTCGGCTAAGTAAAAGAGGCGAATAGTTATTATTCTCAGCCAAAGCTGCTCCGAAACAACTAGAAACAAAGGCAGGCAGGCAGGCAGAACAGAGCACTGGATTGGACCACGGGCGGCGGGGTAGGGGTGAACGGGCGCTTCGGAGGAGCTGCGCCGACAGGAAAAGCCACCCTGCCAGCTTCTTTGAAGCAGTTTCTTCCTGGGCTGGTGGAGGAGCGAGAGAGCGACTGAGAGAGGAACGAGGCGGGAGGAAACCAAAGCCACTGAGCCGGAGAGCAGGACAGGCTTTGGTTGCTTCCTCCCTCCCCTTCTTTCATTTGTGTCCTTGATCCCTGATCCCAGCAGCATTCACCGAAGGCGAAGAAAGCCGCCATTTTTATTTTATTTTTATTTTCTTTGCGGCCCAGTACCAAATGATCCACGGACCGGTACCGGTCCGCGGCCCGGTGGTTGGGGACCCCTGCCTTAGATGATATATAGATTTGCTGAGGCGCTAGGAAAATTTATTGTTGAAGGACTGTTTCTCTATGGAGTAACTCAGTCTCAAGTATATTTAATATTTTTAAAATTGGAAAACATTTTTACAAGCACTTAGGTAATCGCAAGAAGAACCATTCTGATTTTTGATTACTCATGTATCTTGAACATTGATGGTGTTTCACAGCTTCTCTGTAATTTCTCTAAAGACAGATTTTTATTTTTCAAAGTCCTTTTTCTAGACCAGATAGCAGAGGCATAAAAGAAATAGGACTTCTCCTTTGAAGGGAAAAAGACCCAAAGCAAGAGCCTGTATTTGTGCAAATTTTGAATCTGAATTCTTATGAAAAATGCTAGAACTTCTTCTTGACAATGTTATTTTCATAAATAATTTAAAAGTATTTGCAAGTATTTGCTCTTAATTGACGGTTCATTTTGCCATAATCTTTAATATATGATGCATCCAGGGAAACAATAGCACTGATTGGTTTCTGCAGCGGGAGGCCAATGCTGAAACATGCATGACAATGTCATCATGCAAACGGTCTTATGGGGCACAAATATGTAATTGATGCATTTGCATGATGGCATTACAGTACATGCTGAATACTCTTTTGGCTTCATTATACTGTAGTCTGTTGTTGACACTGCTTTTCCACACCTACCAGGCTTTGCTCAATGAGGAGACAGAAGAGAATAGCATTTCCCACTTCTCTCAGATTTTGGAAACACACTGTTTTCAGTTCAGCATACTCAACAATATCCTTGAGCTGATGATGAAAGAATTCCAGAATTCCTGAAGAATGGGGTAATAAGAGAGATAGACAGAGAGAGATGGGGGGGAGAGAATGTCACATAAGTCAGCACTACAGTATGCTGTTTACAGAAAATTAGTATTTCCCCCTTATATTTGTTACAGATCGTCCTTGACTTAAATGGTTCATTTAGTGACCGTTTAAAGTTACAACAGTACTGAAAAAAGCCCTATGACCATTTTTCACACAACCATGCAGCATTCCCATGGTCACATGATAAAAATTCAGATGCTTGGCAACAGCTCATATTTATGACGGTTGCAATGTTCCAGGGTCATGTGACAATTTTGCAATCTTCTGACAAGCAAAGACAACAGAGAAGTCAGATTCACTTAACAACTATGGTAAGAAAGATCATAAAATGGGGATCATAAAACCCACTTAACAGTCTTACTTAGCAACGTAAACTTTGGGTTCAATTGTGGTCATAGGTCAAGAAAACCTATATCTAGATAACAGATAATCAGAGTTGGAAGACACCTTGTAGGTCATCTAATCCAACCTCCCACCCAAGCGGGAGACCCTACATCATTTCTGACAAATGGCAGTCCAATCTCTTCCTCAAGGTCTCAAGTGATGGCGCTCCCACAACTTCCGAGGGCAAGCTGTTCCATTGGTTGATTGTTCTCATTGTCAGAAAGTTTCTCCTTGATTCCAGGTTAAATCTCTCCTTGTTCAGTTTCCATCCATTATTCCTTGTCTGGCCTACAGGCGCTTTAGAAAATAGCTTGATCACTTCCTCTCTGTGGCAGCCCCTCAAATATTGGAAGACTGCTATCATGTCTCCCCTGGTCTATCTCTTTTCACTTAGAATACTCTGGGATACCATGATTGATCCCTTCTTGAACTGTTGTTTTTTCCCCAACGTTGGAGTGTGCAATGTTGGAGTGTTGTTTTTTCCCCAACAAAGGAGTGTCCAACGTTGACAATTTTTTGAATTCTCCAACCAGCCATAATATTTTTACCCAAAAAATATTATGGCTGGTTGGGGAATTCATATAATTGCCAACGTTGGACACTCCTTCTCTAAGTCTTGAGATTACTGTAATATCAGTAATCAACAAAGGTCAATTATGGAACCCCTGATGCCTACAAAATATTTTGGAGGAAACCTGAAAATATATTATCCTAATTTATCACAAACTGAAAACTAAAATATAGCAATATTAGTCTTTATAAACACTACTTAAATTGTTTATTAAATAACCCAACAAAAAGAAGAAACAAACATTCATTATTAACATAATTAAAATTGAACTTACCTGGGGAGCCATACTCGTGTCTAGGCAACCTACAGATTTTGGGCATTACTTCCATTAATGTCTTTACATACTGAAGAATTGTGCCTTGTAACTGAGAAAGCAAATTTAAATAATATTGCTAAATAAGCATAAATTGAAGTGGGGTTCATAAGACACAAACAATGTTTTAATTGTACTACCATATTAAGCAGGTTTATATAAAAATGTGAACTGTCATGTGAACACTGCTTCAAAGTGAACACATTTATGATAAAAAACATACAAATGCAATAGTTGTACTAGAAGTACATTTCATCTCTATATAGGTACATTTGTATATTTTAAGAAGAGTAATGATTGAGTGAAAACATAAATTGTATTGTTTACTGCTAATACAAAGTGTAAATTTAGGCAAATTAGCAGATATGACTAAGCATACGTTGATGATATCTCTTGGAAAACAGTGGGACAAGCTGAATTCCCAAAATGAAATGGTAAAAATACGTCAAATATTTTTAATTAATAAACTAAAACTTCCTGTGATTCTCCTCATCAATACTATAATATGAAATTTTATATTTCAAGGGAAACACAGCCCTAGAATAATGTTCATGCTTCTAATGCTCATATAATTAGGAATGATTTTCATGCAAAATTATAATTCCTATTTTCATGTAATCTCAAACATTTATAGTCAGTGGCATTCCCAGAAATACTCCTTTAATGACTGAAGCAGTATGAATTGTGATCCAAAATATGTGAGGGACATAAAATTCAAAACCTTAGTGATTAAATGAACTTGAATAAAGGGTAGCCTTTTCTATTTATTGAAATAAAAATAATTCACATACCAGACTCTTGACAACTTTCAGTAATTCTTCCATCACCACAGCAATCCCTTGATATCCCAGTAGTCTACAGATCACTTTGAAATGAGGAGGCCCTACAAAGTTCCTATAGTTGCTATAAATGCTAGAGTATGCCAGATTCAAAGCCTAAAGAGAACAACGCAATCCATTCAAATCAAATTAGAAGGTATTTCCCCTTTTCATTATAAGATATATGAAAGAATCCTTTCAAGGAATCAAGTTACATTTAATTTAAAAACTGAAATGATATTTGAAATATGATACTTTCAGTTAAAGTAAAGGAAGAAACAAAATGAATTTTGTAATTAAATGCAATTAGCTCTACAAATAAGCTAGATCTATGCCACTGAGGGTTTAAACATGGTAACTAGATCCTGAATTGCACTCAAAAAGAAACTGGAAGCCAACGCAGCTTACACAACAGTAGTGTGACATGGGCAAATTTCAGGGTACTCTGAACTATGTCTCCCACACTATTCTGGACCAATTGTAACTTTCAGGTCGTCTTCAAGAGCAAGCCCAAGTAGAGCATATTGCAGTAATCCACTACCCTTCTCTTTTTAAAAAAATCTTGCAATTGTTACAACTGAATTGGCAGGATCCACACTTTAAAAAAAAATTGTTATCTGCTCCCCTTTTTCTACAGGTAGATTCAAAATATAGAAAGAAATAACAATTAGCTCTGACATTTCTAAGAGTTGTAGAGTTGAGAGGAAATAAAACCTGGGTCTCCCCAGTCTTAATTTGACATTCTGCCCATTACATCTGGCAAAAACTTGGCACATGATTTATATTATAAAATGTTAAAGATAAAACAAGGTAGAATATGAATTTGCCATTTAATGAATCTAATACACAAAGTAATGTATAGGAAAATCTTTTACATGTTAATATCAGCCTAATGTTACAAAGACTGTGTTTTACCATAAGAAATATAACAAGATACAGATAATTAATAGCACTGTGAAACAAACTTAAGGATAATAAAGCCCAAATGCTCTAATATGACCTTTCCCTCCCCCTCAGTCCAATGATTTAGTACCGATGTCACTAAAGAATTGGGAATTATTCACTTGAATCGCCCAAGAAGCAAGCAAAATCTGGCAAGAGTGCTTCAGAATGCCTTTGCATTAGCAAGAAAGAAGAAAGGAAAGGAAAGTTTCCTTAAGAAGCAGAACAGGCCGGATGTAAGTAGAAGATATCATAATCCCCATCACAAGAAACCCCTGTAAACAAAAGGTCAACGAATGGGAAATTTATTGTGCAGAAAGCATGTAGTAGCAACTATGAATCATGAAGAAATCTACTTGCTCATTTGCAAACGATCTTTTATATTTGAATATTTTATGACACTCTCAGGATTTTTACTCTGAGAATAATGTATGGAATTTGACCAGTTGTAATTATTGGCCAATACTGATGATTTAAGGGGGGAATCCAGTGAAAAATACCACCTTCATATATTTGTATATCTACATTACTTTCTTGAATACTCAAATTAAATTGGTGATTTAATTATACCATATACAGTAAAGGATCCTGCTTTTGTTGTATTTCAGTTTGGAGCAAAGCAAAAAATCTATATTAAAGACACAGAAATTATAAGCTGCAGAAAATTTTAAGAAGTCAAATTCCATAAATTATGCTCCTTGTATTATATCAAACCTTCATTGTGCTTTTTTCTCACTACAGCATTAAGTAAGTCCAACTTACTTGTAGATTATAAACAAATGTTAATTTGTCTGCAATATTATTCAGCAATCAGTACTTTTAATTCAGTCAAGGATCAGTTTTACTCTGAGAATGGACCAACATAAAATGGGTGATATAATAAAATATGTTTAACAGATTGGATAGCTTCTTTGCTTCATTGGCAAAACCTTAGACTAATTGTGATACCTTCTAAGAGGGTTACCTTTATTATGACCTCATTTTCTAGAACTAAGGATGAACTTTGCTTTAAAACATAACATTCCCAAGCTTCTTTATGTAGAAACAAAGCCACTAGGACAAAAGTGGAACATTTTATCTGCCAATGGACTGGTTTGATAATCAACTTTGAATGATTGACAACTACCTGCGCATCTGTCTATCAGAAACAAATAAACAATTATGCCCCACAAGTTATACAGTGCAACTATTCTTAAAGTGGATCTCACTGAAAAAAGTACAGACTGCAAAATTAAATATAATACATAGTGCTACAGAATGAAAATTGTCAAACGCCTGCTACATGAAAAGCAAATACGGAAAAATATTAACCTTTGATCCATGTAGATATTGAGGCTGTGCATTGGGCTGCTTGTCTCTCTGGAATTCCTGAGAAAATGGTAGTACTGTTCGAACAAACCTACATAAACCAAACAAGGCAACTGTCAGGCTCCAAAAACCAAGAAACACATGTGATTCTTTCAAGTAGATTTCTTTATTTTTCTCACTAGTGGACAGAATCGTGCCAAACTAAAACATGCCACTAACCGCACAGAAATACACTCCGGGAACTATTAGGGAGGGCTGTCTTCATCCTCCCCACCCCCACTCAATAATCTATCTGAACTAAGTTATCTCCTGATCATCTAGATTGCACTACCTCCCTGCTGGCAATCCAGACTATATTCCATCACAGCAACACAATTTATAATTGTGGAAGTCCCACCTTAGTCATGAAGGCATTTGTTAAATTTATATCCTGCCTTATTTTAAATCCAGGTGTCACTTTTAACATTCTTTGAATTTTCCCATACAACAATTTAGTGAGGTATATTGAATTGAGAGAAAAGCAGAGACTAGCCCTGTGAGGTTCTGTGGCTGGGAATGGACTGACATGTGGGTCTCCTTGTGGCAGTCCAACACTTTCACCATTATACCTCACCAGATCCTATTCCTTTTTTTAAAACATCAGTTCTGTATTATTATGTGAGTTATGAGAAATATGACTGTGGAATTAAGGTGTCACGCAATAGAAAAGCATCACTACAAAAATATTAAACACTAAGGTATTGGAAGGTACTTGACTTCACACAGTAACTAGAAAACATTATTTGCTTATAGCTGGGATGCCTTTCAGGATAAAAATCTCTGATGTTGATATAGTTATAATACTATCAATTTTTGGTTTTGTTTTGTTTTCTGACATTACCCAGTGTGTACATGATACATCAAAACCTCACTCATATATTCACTGAAGTTGGATTAGTATGCTTTATAGATGGCTAAATCAAAATTTAGATTCTAAAGTCCCCTTTTCTGACGTATTGCAATTCAAGAGCTGGAACCTTAAGTTCTACCAGGCACAAAAATAAAAACGTAACCTTTACATATATAAAATATTATCACTTGTACATTACATACAAGCACTGGCAGAACTACTGCCCTTTATTTATTTTTTACCCTTAATTCTTTGAATCTACCCAATTGTTCCAAAGCCTTTCTTTTACATAGTTTGTTCTAGTTAAATGAGATCAAAAGCTCTATTCATATCTGCTCCCTCTGCATTTATGAATAGTGAGGCTATTGTATAAAACCTGTAGGCTAGAATCAAATACCATGCTCCACATAGTACAAACAATTTTAACAGCACAAGCACATATATAAAAATGCACATAAGAGAAATATCTAGTAACTACTGCAAAAAAAACTAGGAAGTGCTACTATTTTATAGGTCATTCTCCAATATTTATGCCTCAAGCCAATCACTGAACCTTTCTTGAAAAGGATTATTTCAAATATTTTTTTAAAAAAGAGAAGTCCCTGTCCACAGAAAGCTCTGATAACAAGAATCATGTGCTTAAATCCTCAGAGTTAAGTTGGCTATTGCTTAACAATAACATTGACATGTAGCTATCAGAGCAAACTTTATTATTACCAGGATCATGAAATGAAATATAGCATTCAAAAACAAATATTTAAAAATTGTCTCACTAACCTGTTGGTAGACCCATTGTAGCAATAATTAGGAAGGAAATCATAGTTCAGTTCCCAAAAGACATGAAGAGTGATTCTTCCATAGGGAGCAGATACATTATGATTGGCTTCTCTGAACATAGCATCAAAGCTATCCAAAGTCATATATCTGCTCAGGAGCTTGTGTGTCATCTTGTTTATTTCTACTAATCCATCCAACTCCTGATAATTTTTCATGGATAGGTAAAGACATAAGGAGAGAAAGAAATTAAAAAATCATAATCTTCTAATAAAGTATTAGATCTTTTTTAGTGACCGTGCACATCAGAAAAATGTTGATCCATGTTGGAATTATTTCTTACCTAGTTATTTCAAACAATAGACAAAGAGGCAGAGTCTCAAATCATCTTTGTAATAACAGTTCAAATATATGATACATTGGCTTCCTATCTAACCGGAAGTTCCTAAATACTGAATAGCCTATAGGATGACACATTTCAATGCCTTTCCCTCAGTTGCACTGGAAGATATTGAAAGATTCATTTCATAAACTATTTAGATCATTGCAGCGATGGTCAGATTGAAACTATTGTACATGTTCTTCTCCGCTGCACATTTTTTTGAGATGTTTGCAGCACATATATTCATCCTTCACAGATAAGTCTTCAACTTACAACAGTTCATTTAATGACCATTCAAAGTTACAACAGCATTGAAAAAAGTGACCTGTGAACATTTTTCACACGTGCAACTCCTGCAGCACCCCCATGGTCACGTGATCAGATCATATTTATGACGGATGCAGTGACCCTGAGTCACGTGATCACCTTTTGTAATCCTCTGACAAGCAAAGTCAATGGGGAAGCCAGATTCACTTGTTACTAATTTAACATCTGAAACGATTCACTTAATAACTGTGGTAAGAAAGGTCTTCTTAACAGCATTTACAAGTTAATTTATATTTTAGCCTAGCTCTCTAAGGTTTACAAAATAATTTCCTTCTTTCTCCTGTCTACCTTTTCTAATCATCAAAAACCATAAAAAACAAGTACATTTTTTATTTTTTTTCTGCAAAAAGTCTATCAAGTGATTTCCTGTCACTTTATCACAAATATACAACACTTCCAACAGCATTACGCAAGGAGTAGTTCTCTGTGTTTTATTTATATAGATTAATGGGGGGGAAACCTCTTAGACTCCATGTTTTAAACCAGAATATACAGTTCAAAGAACCCTAAAATTAACAGGCCACCAACTGCAATCCTTACACAGACATCTGAAAGAAATTGCTACAATTGGAGGTAGTCACCAACTACTGTTATAGAGATAAAAGGCAATTTGCAGTGCAGCTTTATCTCTGCTTGACACTGATGTTGAATGTGCCTGGAAATGAGCCACTTTCCATATTTCAACCACATCCTCCACTTCGGTGAGAAATGGCTTTGAGTCAGCTTACTACACAGCATCTCACAGTAGGCAAATGCTCTGTTGGTGCTCTCTGCTCACGGTTGATGGTTGACTGACCTGTCCTCTGTATTAATGAGGAATATTCTAAGTAATATCTAATTATATATTACCTACCACCCTCCTTATGCTGGCTTTTGACCCTAATAAAGGTGTGACTGATTGATATATTATCTATAATTATACGTGTGGCATTTACACCTTTCAATGTTCTGGACTACCCTGGTTACTCTGATACTCCACTTATGGAAAAAGAATGTGAGCGCTGGGTGCCAGGAAGAGAGCAGGAACAGCTCATCCAGCCCAAAAGATTGCCACTGAGTCATATTACTTATTATGGTTATTATTTATTATTGTGGTATTACTCTACCACAATAAAGAAATGTATCATTTCAACGCTAGCCATTTTTAAAAGGGCAAAGAGACAATGATGAAACACTGGACAATTGTATAACTTTCAGCTTTCGCCATTCCCACTGGCAGAATGGCATGTGGCTATTTCTTGGTTGAGGCAACTTTCCCACCTCTCACGCAATGGTTCATTTAAAATGGACGCTCAGCTCCCCAGCCCAGGATGAAATGGTCATTGAAGGCACAGAACAGTTATTGGAGGATGTGTGTGCCCATCATAGCATACTCCACCCAACTGCAACAGAGGCATTTATGGAAAATGGTATTGTGTGCAGGAGGTGGGACACACTGCCCTGCTTATGCAGGTCAAAGCGGAGAACAAAACTGATGGCATAGTGAAGGTGGAGATCACCTTTGATTCATTCTAGAGGTAGGCTGAGGATAACGTTGCTGTTATTTACCCTCACAAAATAGTAAGATAATCTTATGAGGTACAGATAAGCCCTATCCTTGAAGAATGATGACAGAAGAATATCCAAAAAGAATAACAATTCAGAGATAACCGTAGCTGGTCACTCCTCCTTTTTGTTCTTATAGTCGTTTTGCTGATGATCAGTCAGATTCATGGACAGGGAAGATTTTTTTTATTCCTTCTGAGCCTAATGTTTCTAATCAAATAAAATCCAGAAATAAGATGGTACAGGACAGAAATAAATCACAGGTAGTCCTCGATTAATGACCACAATTGAGCCCAGTTAACTTTTTTGTTGCTAAACAAAACAGTATTTAACTGAGTTTTGCCCCACTTTATTTCATTTCTTGCCACAATTGTTAAATGAATCACTACAGTTGTTAAATTAGTAACACAGCTGTTAAGTGAATCTGGCTTCCGCGTTGACTTTGTCTTTCAGTGTCCCTGGGACACTGCAACCATCATAAATACTGCCAGTTGCCAAAAAAGGCCAAGTTATGATTGCATGACCATGGGGATGCTGCAACAGTTATGTGAAAAATGGTCACTTATTCGGTGTCATTGTAACCTTGGTCACTGAAGGAATGATTGCAAGTCAAGGAGTACCTGTAATTTTTTGCACAGCTCACATTACACTCCTGCATTAACTTTGTTATTAACAAACAACACCTGGCTGAAGGAACTGAATTGTCAAATCTGATATTTTCTGTTAACTCTAGACCAAGTGGGAAATTAAATCCTAATGTTTTTCAGCACTTACTACAATGGAGGTCAAATCTTCACTTTCAAAACGCCCAATTGCCAGTTCCATTGATTTGTACACAGCTGCTGAAATTCTCTGAGTGATCAAGCGATTCAGATCAATTGACCGACCAAGAAGCTGAAGAAAAACATTAAATGAAGTTTTAATGTAATTATTCCATATCTGCAAGAACAAATGTCCTGAGCCCCACATATATAAAAGTAAGTTTGGTTTGCAGAAATGTTATGCAACAAACCTAGATAAAGTTTTCCAGACCACAGTACATTCCTGAAGACGGAAATGTCACTTAAATAAATTAATTCTACATGCTCAACTACATTAATACTTTTTTACTTGTACCAGCAACCACATATTAAAAATAAACACCTACCCAATTACCTTTGATGGGTGAAATGTAGCAAAATAACTGGCAAGAATGTTAATTATTCACATGATATACTAAATAGTGACATGTATAGGCCCACACTGATGTCCAAATCTGGTTCATTTTCATACTATGACCATAACTTAGCTGAGCCTGAACTGGAAGGAGTTTTAGCCAAAGATTAACTTCACCTAATCATCTTTGGACAAGGAGACGCAAATAGGACTGCTGTTCTCAAATATGCTTTCAACCTCTATAAGTTACAAGAGCCCATCCCCATCACACACAGAGGATTATTAAGGAGATTGGGCTACTAAATTTCTTTTTTTAATGTGAATTTTTTTAAAATTAAAAAAAAAAAGGAAATTTCAGAGAAGCATTAGTGAGGTTGCTTGGACATGATGGGAGCTGTAATCAAAAGATGCAATGAAAGAATAGTATACCAACCTGGACATGTCTCTGTTTTAGCAATGTTTCATATCGATTAGATGTTAACAATGGAATTGTTGCACCCTGATTCTTGCATTCCGATCTTAGGCGTTTATCCAGAAGTAGGCTGCGCAAAAGTGAGAATATGAGATAACACTCTATAACAGAGGTTATCTTTTAATATCATTTGTCAATGCTTTAAAACAACACAGTAAGAGAATAACAGAGTTGGAAAGGACTATGGAAATCTTCTAGTCTGATTCCCTGCTCAAGCAGGAGACCTTACACCATTTCAGACAAATGGTTTTCCAATCTCTTCTTAAAAATCTCAATTTCTGAAGGCAAAAATTTGTTCTAACTGTCAGGAAACTTTTCCTTATTTCTAGGTTGGGTCTCCCTCTCACAAGTACCCACCCACTTGCTTCTTGTTCTGCCTTCAGGTGCTTTGGAGAATAGGTTGACCCAGAGGTGGCATTCAGCAGGTTCTGACCAGTTCTGAAGAATCAGTAGCGGAAATTTTGAGTAGTTTGGAGCACCGGCAAATATTACCTCTGACTGGGGATTTTACAATCTCCTTTCCCTGCCACGCCCACCAAGCCACGCCCACAGAACCGGTAGTAAAAAAAATTGAATCCCACCACTGGGTTGACCCCCCCCCTTCTCTGTGGCAGCCCCTTAGGTATTGGAAAGCTGCTATCATATTACCCTTAGTCCTTCTTTTCATTGAATTAAACATACCTAACTGCTGCAATCATTCTTCTTGTATTTTAGATGCCTCTAATCATCTTTGTTGCTATTCTCTGTGGTCTTTCTAGAACCTTAACATTTCTTCTATATCGTGACAACCAAAACTGGATGCAATATTCCAAGTGTGGTCTTACCAAGTTATTATAAAGTGGTAATAACATTTCACATGATCTTGATTTTATCCCTCTGCTAATGGAGCTTAGGAATGCATTGGCTTTTTTGGCAACTGCATCACACTGTTGGCCCATATTTAAATTATTGTCCACTAGGAAATCATTCAATGTATGACATACGTCCAATGTACGGCAATGTAAATAAATTTTCCACATAGGATATGGTTGAACTACAACTTTCAACATCTTTTACCATTTGTCATGCTGATTCAGACCCTGGAAAGGCAGTAACTGAAAGGCCCAGGCTAGCCCCAAACTTTAATGGAGACACATACCTTCCTGCCATAACTTTGTAATATGCAAATATCTGATCTGCCAACTTGTAGACAAACTGATCAAAACATAAGTTGACCTAAAGAAAATATGAAAGATTAGACACATTACTCAAATGAATTTTCTTTTGAGCATTTTAAAATGGGAGGATGAAAAGGCACGTTCCCCAGCAATTCAACCTGTATAATCTCTCTTTGGTTGGCATCCAACTGTAGGAAATTGTTTTCCATTTACATAATTATTAAGAAAATATCTATGATACTCAGTTTGTTTTCTGCATGTGACTTATTGAACTATAAACATATTCCAAATTCAGTACTAATTCATCTGTTCATATTTTTTTCACCTTCATTTAATTATACTTCTTAAAATATTTTTCAGGCAAGAAAACATATTCAACTAACTTACATCTCTGTTCTAATGGAATTATTTTTCCTACTAATCTCTACATTTTAAAACTTTATTTTCCCTCTGTCAATGTGTTAACCACTGATCAGGCCTTAGTGGCTCAGTTTACATACTATGTTAGGCTGCCAAGTAATTGCCTGGCTTTGCCTTGTCTTGTTTTGAGAACATACTATACCTAATTGTTCAATATATCACGATTAAACAAAACATGCCCTAGCAAGATATGCAAACATACGCTCTGTATGATTGTGTATCTACTGATTATTTTTGGAAATTGCTTATTACTTTGGTCCATTATTCCTCAGTAAAAATGAAATATTTTTCTGGGCTGTTCCTCTATTAATTTGAGCTGCAGATTGGAAAATCCAATCCTTGCAAGTCCTATACTTTTCAACATCATTCATAAATTTCTTTTAACTTAATCTGTTTAAGAATTTATCCTCTGCATTAATTATTTGTTGTCTGATGACTTACCTCTGCCTCAATTTCATCATAGAGAAATTGTTTCTTGAATTTGGTGAGTGCATAATGAGCACTGTCATTATACAGGTCCAAAGAATACAGGACATATCTAAACAAGAGATGAAAACACAGATTCAATGATGTGTAAAATAACTGTTTGTCTTAATATACCAAGCCATTGTTCAAGAACAAAACTGTTAAAAATTTAATGAGAAAAGTAGAGCATTTACCTGCCCAATACTTTGCATGCAAGCAGTCATAGAAAGCTGATGATACATCATTTTGGACAAATTTCCCTGCACTTAAAATAGTTGTATTTATTTTATTTATTAGTTTTATCTGCTTCCTATCTTTTTTAAGAGAGCTCCCTATGCTATTGGGGAAAAGGAGGGGCTAATCAATATAACACATTTTACAAAACTTTTCTCTGGAACACAAGTTTGATTGTATATACCTAAGAATACATTCTTACATGCTTACATTCTTTTCTCCAACCCTTGTTGATTTCTGGCACAAACTTGGGCTATGGGTGGGAAATGGAAAGGAGAAGAGCAAAGAGGAAAATTAGGCAGCAACACTGACCTTATTCCTAGTATCCATCCAGCAATAAAATGGTTGATTTCACCAAAAGAATGAAAAGCATGAAAGGAAGGATCCAGGCAGATTTCACCAATTCAAAAAAGTTTGCAAATGGAAAAGTGAAGCAAACTCAAAAGACCCAACCCTCTTTCCTCTCTTCCTTATTTTAAAAGGGGGACTCTATTCTACAATTCAAATAATTTTAAATACTCTCATCTCAATTCCACTAAAATTTAGTGATTACAAGTCTATTATAAAACAAGAAGAGAAAGAACTTTATTAGCCTTACTCCATCATTGATGCTTCCTTGGTCTCCAAAATGTGGTCAGTTAGAATCCAAGGCATAGACATCTCAATGGGGAACTGGATTCTTCTGCCCATTGTGAGCTCCAGAAAGAATTCCCTGAACCATAGCTGGGACAAATCACAGCACTGCTGGAGGGTTTCTTATTGAAAAGGAAATTAGAGCAAATTAATTTTGATAGAATCCAGGGAGAACAGCTACTTTAATAGTGCAATGTTATAGAAGCACAACTGCGGAAGAGACACTGCAATAGCACATGAAGAAACTGAAACCAGCATTTGGATGGAGCACTTGAATAGTTACTGTAAGCTGCTGCTGAGACAAATAGACACCAAAAATACAAATGGGTTTCTTACTGAAAACTTTGGCAAAGGAAGTATCATCAGTTTTGTAGTAGAGATGATTGTATATACCTCAATAAATTTCTGAATAAATTTATGCTAAATATTGAGAATGCCACATTTTCATCTCTTGTAAAAGAAATGAAAATGTCTTGCAACAACCATCATTAGTTTATTTTATCTGATTAGTTTATTTACCTTGTCACATTTATTTTTCTGCTACAATATGCACTGATCAGATGGACATTTAATGAAAAATATTTGTATATAGGTGTAGGTAAAAGAAACAGTTAAGAACAAATACATTGTTTTCAAAACACAATCGGAGTTGTCAAAGATTCCTTCTGGACTGCCATAATAGATGAATTTTCAGTAAGTTAGAACACTGATTTCCAAACTTTTTGTTAAGAGATTCTTAAAGAGTATTTCCTGGTCTCTAATATAAATAGTATATACAGTAGAATGTTAAAGTACATAATAAGGTAACCTAAAAAAGATTACAAAGTCCAAAAATGACAGGATCTCAAGCCATGTGCATCTTTCAGCTCTGACCAGGATGGTGTACATAGTGATTTATAGAAAGCTTCTGTAGTATACACATACAGGAAATCTTGTTTTGCTGAAACATTTCTTACAGCTGGTTAAGCAGAGATAAACTTATCCTATATAACAATATCTAGCCCAAATAAATAACACTAAGACTTACTCCAAAAACTCCTCAGAATCTCAGTTCAGTGCTCGGGAATCAGTGTATTAACAACCAGCACTATGTCTGCAGGACACTGAAATATAAACTCTCCCCCCATTCAAAGCAAAAATATCCAACCACATTGTGGATTGAAAAGACAATGCAGTATGATATGACTTGATTAGACACAAGTCAGTAGGTGAAATCCACTTGAACAACATGCTTCCGATTAAAACCAATAATACTGAAAATGATAGCCAAACAAGGCAAGATACTTATCTTCTTTCCTTAGAAAAAGAAGGGAAAACAAACAAACTAGGCAAACATTTTTGCTATTTTCACCGGATCAACATAGGGGCTCTTATTTGGCAATTATTTATGAACGACAAAATCATTCCAACTAGAAAAATCTATCGAGTATATCTGTTTAAGCCTAGGGTTGTATGTAATACAGGTAGTCCTCGGTTTACAACAGTTTGTTTAGTGATCATTCAAAGTTACAAGAGCACAGAACAATGTGACTTAGGATGTTTTTCACAATTATGACCTTTGCACCATCCCTATTATCATGTGATCAAAATCCAGATGTTTGGCACCTGGTTCCTATTTATGACCTATGCCCCAGGGTCATGTGATCACTTTTCTGTGACCTTATGACAAGCAAAGTCAATGGGAAAGCCAGATTCACTTTAACAACTGGGTTACTAACTTATCAAGTGTAGTGATTGCTTCATAACTGTGGTAAGAAAGGTCGCAAAATGGATCAAAACTTACTTAACAAGTGTCTCCCTTAGCAACAGAAATTTGGGCCTCAACTGTGGTCGTAAGTCGCAGACTACCTGTATTCTCAAATGTGAAAGACTTAACGAAAGTCCTATTGGATCAGACACAGAGTCCACATAGTTTTAGGTTATGTTTGCCACCCTGAGTTATTTCTAAACATAATAAAGGCAGCATTTAAAATAAATAAATAAATAATCCGCCCTCACTCTTTTTCTCAACAGCAGGAAAGAAGATGCCAAGCTGCTAAGCTTTGATAGAATATTTTAAATAAGAGCAAAGTTAAATAAATTGGAAACATTTTCCCGGCATGTGTTAGAAGTATTAGGACATGCTAAAGCTGAACACTGATCATCTATGTATCTTACCACTGAAATTTATCAAGTGAGTGTAGAAGAAAGACTCTCGGTGGAATTTTTCAATGTCCAATATGGTGGGCCCCTCAAGGCTACTTCTCAAGGTTTTCTTGGAACCACTTTTGTCAGCAATGAGAGACTCTAACATGGTTCTTACCATGTAAAGCTGCATTATTAAACAGAACATTTATGATGGAGGAAAACATACATGGCATATTAGTTGAGCTTTACTTATCTGCCAAAAGGAAGATTACTTCAATTTGCAACCTGATAAGGAAAGTAAAAAAATAATTAACCTGAAGGAAACTGAAAGGGGGAGGGGGGGAGGAAAGCACCACAATTTGCAGTGGAACAGTTCATGGCATGACATTATTTAAAAATAATAAGTAATGCCTTACCACCAAAGTTTAAAAGAGTGGGATAGATGTAGGACTGCCTCAGAAACTTGTTTATCACATGCAATAACTTTTCCATTCCCAGAGATCTGAGCTGCTTCAACAGCTCTGCATAGTTTAAGGACTCTGTCATAGAACGAACCAGGAAGAGCTAACAGAAAAGGAAAAGGCAAAAGAGGAGAAGAGAGAATCCGTTAATAAATACACAAGGTTAACTAGAGAAAAGGAGAAAGCACAAAACCAGACAAACATACAGTATATTAGTTTGTTAAAACATGAATAGCAAGACAGTGAAGAATACAGAACCCTTTGACCAACAAGAAGTAAGAAGTTTTATTTATTCAGCCTACTATTTTGTTATAGCACATAAAAAGATTTTAATTCTGTTAAGGAAGCTCATGCCAATCAAATTCAAAGATAATTTATTTTCCTATTACAAATATTTCTCGTTGCAACATAGCAATATATTAATGGGAAAGAATTGAAGATGCTGCTACTAACATGAAAACTGCAAGCAAAATTATTTCACAACTGATTGATTGGAATCATTTTTATTTCTCGTAATAAATAGATAGTTAGATAGAGAACTGTGAAAGGAAAGGAAATGTCACTAAAGAAATTTCAAGAAAAGAAAGCTGATGATAGGTAACATGTCCTGGTAAATTCTATTGAGGGTGCCACAAACATCAGTGGAACTGGATATGTAGCATGCTCAAGGGCAAATTCCCAAGCAAGAACATTTTTATACACAATGGCTATGGAATTCAGCATCTGTTCATTTATGGTTTGCGCTTGTATGAGTTAGACATGATCTGAATGCATATTAATTAAAAGACTATAATTAATTGTTTTTTTCTTGTGTTCTAGCCAGATAAGCCAGAGCTTCAAAGGTTTAACTTTACAGGATATATTGAGAGTTCTAAGTGGAGAAAAACAATTCCTCTCCTTCGCCTCAATATAGCAGCCAATTGAAAAATGCACCAAAAAGTTAAAATTTAAGTGGAAAATAGGCAATGAAGTTTTTCAGGAGCAAAATCCTGAACATATTAAAAAAAATAAATCTCCAGATCTGCATTTAAACAAAGAATTACTTGCATTGCTTAAAAAAGCAGCAGAAAATAAAACATAATCAGCATAGAAAATTTACAAAATAGGATCCCCGATGAAATTGCCCAATCCTGATGGCATTTTAAATATGTTTATTTCACAGTAATTTCAGTTTTTGGTCAATGATACCCATGCAAGAATTAGTAGAGGGAGTTACCTGGGTACTGGAGGGACCTACAGCACGCCTTGGAACTTTAACATCAAAGCCACTTTTGGGATCTTTCTCTCCCCTTAGTGCAGGGTCATTAAATGGTTCGTGCCCACCTTCCCAGTCACACACAGTCTTTCTGATAGCCTGTAGGATACTAACCATAATTCAAGAGGGTTTGTGAGCATCAGCTAATGCTTAAGAACCACAAGGGACTAGATATATGCTTTCTGAAGTCATTATACACTAATAATTGATATTAAAAATACATTACCAACTGATAATGCTATCATTTTATAATTCAGAGTCTGAAAGCATGCAAATTTTAAACCATGAGAAAAAAAATTCTTGCCACAATTAACACAAACATAACCAAAGCCTCCCTCACATGTAATATATGTGATATTGGTTGGGGAGAACCAATGCCTGACATCTGTAAGTAATAATACATTTAGATCTTCAAATTATGTTGATTCCACATAGGATGGAAGTATATGAAATGAGATTTCTGGCTGACCTAAGAGGTCTATTTATATACATTAGGGATGGGCAAAACATCTGAGCATGTAATAGGTGGTTCTGGGACCTAGGCATAGATCAAAAATTGTTTGGTTATGGACATGGACCATAATTTTAGGATGTTTAGGCTGGAATTATCTAGGAGGCTGCCACTTTGATCAATTTTTAAAGACCTATTACTTATTCTCAAGAAATCCTAAGAATTAGAGGCAAGTGGGGAAAATTTATTTTAACTGTTCTTTCCAAGCATATATTTTACCAAAGGCTAGTATTATGCAATCATAACTTCATATTTCTTTTTTTTTTTCAATTTTTGGTAAATAACAGGCCTATCTTGGATGACAGGTAATCCTTGACTTACAATAGTTCATTTAGTGACCGTACAAAGTGACATTGAAAAATGTGATTTATGACCATATTTCACAGTTACAACCTTTGCCGCATCATGTGATCAAAATTCAGATACTTGGTAACTGGTTCATATTTATGACTGTTGCTATGTCCCAAGGTCATGGGATCACATTTTGCGACCTTCTGACAAGCAAAGTCAATAGGGAAGCCAGATTCACTTACCAACTGGGTTACTAATTTATCAAGTGCAGTGATTCATTTAACAATTGTGGCAATAAAGGTTGTAAAATGGGGCAAAATTCACTTAACAAATGTCTCACTTAACAACAGAAATTTTGAACTGATTGTGGTCGTAAGTTGAGGACTACATTTGTAATATATTGCCATCCAATACTGCTAACTGGTCCTGTCAATTGCAAAAGGCCACACTGCTTAGATTCACACATATATTAAACAAATACATTACAACATTCTAGGTTCTTGGGAAGATCTCAATGTGTATGAAGGCCAACGTCAGCTGAAGAGCTGGAAGCTATGATTTCACATTATAGTGTAAATAATCATAACAATGTTCCCGAATATTCACATAAATGTTTGAAAAATATATATGATGGTATGAGATCGTTGTCAGTCACTACCTTTGGATGACATTCTTCTTCTTTTTGATGGCTTGTCTTAATGGTTCTCTAAGTGTGATTTGGGCAAAGTCTTGGAGAGCAGCATAGATTGTATGACGAATGGCATGATTGAAGACACTTTCCATCCTCCCCATCAACACCTGTAATCCTTTAATCATTGCAATGACCTGTATTGGGGAGGGGATGTTAGTTTTCTCTAATGAGGCAAATTTATAGGAGGGCAAGCTAGAGATTTTGCAGAATTCATCTGCACTTTCTTACCTCTACAAGAGCAAATTTTTCTTCACTTGTATAATTATAGCGAGTTGCTCTTTCATACTCTTCAGCATTGTCAGGGCAATCTTTGTTAGAATATTTGTCAGTTGGGTGTACTAACTTCCACGAATACTGAAATCAACAAAGAAAATGAAAACGACACAGAACTGAGCAAAATAAAATGAATCTTCCCATTCACTAATGAATCACAATAAAAATCAGACTCGTATCTCTAAACTATCAGCTGACATGGGATTGTATTCAACATATTCTACTTAAAAGAATAACCCTGTAAACTTCCCCCACAAAATAACCCCAGCAGGAAAGGAACTTCTATATATACATTGCTACATTTATCCAGGCTCTACTGAAGTGGCTTGATATCTTTCAGTCTAGATGAAGTAATTAAAGGCAGCATAAGACAAGTTGCAAGTATTTAAATCCAAACTTGATACTTTAAAATGTTAACAGGTTTATACAGCGTACCAGAATCAAATATAATACAGCAAAATAACATTCATATTTCTGTCCTGGTACATTTCAAAAGGCAAATATTAATTGGTTTATATTTTAGGTACCAATGCTATAAAATCACTCAAAATGATTCCTATCATTAAGAAAAAACTCCTATAATTTGGTGTGAAGTACAAGTGAAGTTATACTGATGGTTATCACAGAGTTTATACCCTTTCCCAGAGTTAAGATATGAAGTTCTATATCAACTTCTTTTGCTTTTACCTCTTGTCCTGTTCCAGAAATCCCAACAAAAAGGGGCATGCATAAGCACACAATTGTGCCTACCGTCCTTGTCCTATTGTCCCCAATTATTAGTTCCTATTTCTTATAGTTAAACATGTTTATTCTTATTTCTATTATATCGTAAGCTTTTGACAAAATAATAAATAAAAATAAACTTTATAAGACTATCAGAGTAATGTCTGCTAACAAGTATATTATAAGCAACATGGCTGTCCTGCATATATTTATAAAAAAATACCCTTTGTTATGAATAACAGGATATACATTAAATGAAGTTCCCATATCACATATAAGCAGGGGTACGATACGACAGGATTAACTACCAGTTCGGGATTTACGAGCTTCCCTGCCTGATGGAAGCCGCGCGCCTGTAAATCGTCATCAGCACGCTGCATGCAGAAAAGCAGCCTTTGAAACAGCCCTCTTTTCCTGCTTTTTTAACTGCAGCTGTGCCTCGTTCAGCAGCTGAAGTTGAAAAATCAGGAAATAAAGATCAGGTAAGAGCCCGGGTGGGCGGGTGGGCAAAAGTATCAGCAGACATAGAACCGGTTCTATGTCTGCTGCTCTTCAGAGCTACCGGTTCTACAGAGGTGGACAGAACTGGTAGAAACCCACACCTGTATATAAGGTGGATAACTTTTTGAGGTAGGTGCTATAGTTTCCATTTTTAATTTGGGGGGGGCTCCAAGGGCTAAAAGGGCATGGCAGGTGTCAAAGGAGTCCCTGACAATAAGCAGTCACAAATTTGTGATCTCATCTAAATTATTACCGTATTTGCCGGCGTATAAGACGACTGGGCATATAAGACGACCCCCCAGCATTTCCATTCAAAATATAGAGTTTGTTATATACTCGTCAAGGATGAGGGATGGACAGCTGCCAACTCTCTCTCTCTCTCTCTCTCTCTCTCTCTCTCTCTCTCTCTCTCTCTCTCTCTCTCTGTGTGTGTGTGTGTGTGTGGTGTGGAGGGTAATTCCGGCTATCTCTGGCCTCCGCTCGGTTTTAAAGTCGCTTGGCCGGTTCCCAAGTCGCAAGCGCGCGCTGGCCGGGAGACACGGCGCTGGGTGGCAGCTCGGTGCCGGGGAGGCGGATCTTTCTCTCTTAAGCGGGGAAGGAAGGAGGGGACAAGAGGAGGGACGGGACGGGACAGGAGGCGGGAGGAGGTCCCTCGCCTTCTTCCACCGCCCACCAGACCCTTTTCTTCCCAAGGGGACCCTGGAAAGCAGCTCAGGAGCCGGGTGGCCCTGCCCAGTGGGGTCCTATCAGGAACTTCGCGAGGACATCCCCCCCACCCCAAGCACAGCTCTCCCGGTCTTTCAAAGAGGGAGGGAGAAGTGGGAGGAGCAAATTGTCGGCCCCGCCCTGCTGCCCAGAAGGAGGGGCACCACAGTCCACTCTCACCACCTTCTCCCCCCCACTCCCCGGGCCATTACGCGGCTCGGGGCTGGCTGGGCGAAGCAGCCCCATCAGAGACCCTCCCGCTCCACCCCCACCCACCTCCAGATTGGCCTCCGCAAGCGCTCCGAGCCAGGCGGAGGGGGGGAGGAGGAGGAAGAGAGACTCTGGCTGGGCTTGAAGGGGCTTCGCAAGTTGCGGAGCTCCGCCCCCGTCACTCTTGCACCGAGTGACAACAACGTATTTGCCGGCGTATAAGACGACCCCCCCACTTGGAGGCATGTTTTTCAGGGCAAAAAAGTCATCTTATATGCCGGCAAATACGGTATGTATGGGGGAGAAGGGTTATTTTACACAAAATAGTCATCAGAAGCTTAACACATCTATTTTAAATTGTACAAGCAGTTAAACACTGAAAAGCAGTTATCCTACAAAGAAAGCCACCATTTTGCCACTGAATTGGCAGAGCTTGATCTTAGGCTGCCAAATCAGACTTTTTTTTTGGTATCCTACAGGTGTCCTATGCTGACACAGAAAGTGTGGCTCTGAAATACTGCATTTGAAACCAGACTGTATCATAGTACAAGGCTATTTTTGTGCATTCAAAAGTCTACAATAACAGTGAAGATGATTGATCAGATATGTGGACCTGGCATGGAAATCTGCAATATTGTATGGGCTGTCTCCTAGAAGGAATAACTGACAATTATTCCTTCTAGCAAAGGGCCCATACAGTATAATAGCCTTGCAAGATTTCAAGGCCAGATCCACATATTTGCCATCAGTTGATGGGCACAATGTAACTACTACTTGTGCTATGTTCTCATGTAATTATGATGAAGAGAAACTTGGGTCCCTAAAACCATGTTGAGTTAACTAGTGAAAAAAATTGCTTCACAATTCAACAATGTGATATTTGGCCACAATAGCTATGATAACTTTAGATCTGCTGAAGATATGATTACCTATCTTGTGATTCTTAATTCACTTATGTTGGTCTCGAAATAAGCAATAAGATTTGTTTTACTAAATGCAATCTAAGATTACAATTATATAATGTTTTTCCTTAATTTCTCCTTTAAAACTTCCTGCTTATTTTTCCACATACCACTTCCATAACATGCGCACTCCACTGTGATAGAAGTTGAAGACCCTGAAGAGAAAGATCAAAAAGTTTCCGATATTCAGCATCTGTTTTCTGAGCTTCTTGACGTCCTGATCCAGTCACCACCTACAAGGGATAAATGACTGTAAAATGATTTTATATAAAATGAAAGCAAGGTTTAAATGCACAGAACCAGTGTATACGAAGAATCATTTTATTCAAATTTAAATGAGAATTTGTGATAGTCCAATATTATTTCTATTCATTTGATACCTCAAAATATGTGGCTTTACAAGAGTAATGTCCAACATCTAAAAGTCTGGTCTAGTTAGATAAGCCATTTGAAAATTAAGTGAATCTGTTCCATAGCAGTCTATATTCTTGCAAAATTTCTTCATGTAAAGAGCATGCATGTCAGCATGATATAGAATATATTAATTTATAATTAGAATGCATTTATATCATTACTTCTTCATACAAAGTTATCTTGATCTGATATTTTTATGACTTGGTAAAAGGGCGGGATAGAATAGGGAGTATAGTTAGAAAACTCTTCAAAAATCTTTTGCGGGCCATTTGAGTTACATTTCAGCAGCCAAGGAAAATGCCAAAAAACATTTGGGAACTGAATCCAACATTCCTCAAAACTTTTATCAATTGACATCATGTTGTTTATGCAATTAAAAAATCTCTGCCTAGATTTAAAAAAAAAAGCCATATTCAAAAAACATTTGGGACAGGAACTCAGAATTCTGAATTGCACTTCATACCCAGAGTAAATATTTTATTGACATACAATAGGAATGAGTTTAAATGTTCTGTATAAGGAACAGTTATATCCTTGAGTCTCTTGAGTGAAGCATGCAAAATAATTGATCATAAGGCAAAATTACCTCTCCTTAAAATGTGCTAATCCACATACCTCATTATTGCTGTAACGAGCCAGTTCTGAAATAAAACGCATGTGATCATCTCTTATCTGGATCATTTGCTCACAGATGTTGTATTGGGGACTACTGCCAGAAGAAGTACATGTCCACCTGCAAGAGAAAAACAAATTGTGAAATGATCACACTAATGAGAAGAAGGAAACTTCCAATTAATAATTATTTTTTTAAAAATTGAAACTACTTTTGCAGGAACTAAATGTTGTACAAGTTTCCTCCATTTAAAAATAATGTAATTTAGAACATAAAGTAACATAGCCAATCCTAACAACTAATACAGTTTTAAAAGCTATATTAAGAAAATGCAACTTAATCAGACTGAATATTATCGGAAAAGCAAGCTCCTGTAAATAGAAGCAACTTAAAACAGATCGTTCCTGAAGAGTTTCATGTTCAAACACACCTACTCTCTCAGACACATTTAAATCATTAAAGATTAAAACCAAAGCTGCAAAATGAGATCAGAAAATAGTGACAACTATTATTTTTCCTTATAGGAATTGGTGCTATATTTTGCTCAAAGCTCTTAAGGACAGCCTCACGTGGTGCTAACTATTCCTGGGGATGATACAAATAAGGACTCTGAGGGAAACAATATTTTTAATAAGGCCAGCACAATGGGAAAGATTGCATACTATACAGCAAGCCATCAAAATTCTTTTCCTTAGTTTGTTCAACTAAATTCTTGCTGAACTGAAATCTTTGACAATTGCTTAATAGTTAGGAGCAATTAAATACAAGATTTTGATAATATAATGTAAAATGGCAGTAGGAGAAAATAAAATCACTGGATGTCTACTTGTGCAATATTAGGCTTATCCACTGTTAGTAATATATGATTATGCATACTTCTGCTATCTTTTAGCCCTATTCGGAAAAGGATTTTATTCTATAGCAACAATGGAATTTCCTACTCCTCAAGTGTTACAAATATTAAGAATGAAAAGAACGGTGCATTTTCCCCATCAAACACATGTTACACATACACTTATCTTTGCAGACTTATCCAAACTTAGTAACTATCCAAACTTCAAAATATAAAGTCTATATTTAAGCCAAAGAAAGATTTCAGGTTGACAACTAAACCTATGTCAAATATGCAAATACCATTAATGATTAAAAAACAGAAGTCCTAGCACATTTCTTATGATTAAATTTCTTGTGTATCCCTCAGAATAGGCTTGAGGAACTATGATGCTCCAAAGTATAATTTCCTTCCTTAACATAGCAGCATTGATGGATGCTTATGATGAAAATCTAACATCTTTAGCTGTTGCTATCAAAATAACATAGATCATCCTATATCATGATTTCAAATGAGATATAATAAAGCTGATAATATTATAAAACAATTCTACAGCATGTTCAACAAAGATAGCTGGATATTTTTTACTCTTACCTAGATTTATTCTCCTCATAATGAGCGCTAGTCTTAATGTATCTTGCCAGTTCAATCTGCATATCACCAAACAGTGGAACTACTTGCAGCTGCTATATAAGAAAAAAATGCAAATCTTACACATATTTCATGGTCCCATATTTTTCAAATAAACTACTTATACACCATTAAAATGTATACAATTAAAACAAAGCAATCACAAAATCATGGATCCAAATCAGAATGTCATTTAAAACAATGTGCACAAATTTAAATACAATACAATGTAATTCTGATGTAATAATCTTTTCCAAAAACTCATAAACACAGTGATGCCAGTAAAGTATACCCAATATATCATCACCACCCAACTATTCTAATTAGAAACTCGGAGAAAAACATCCACAAGGCAAAATGCTCCTGAACAGATTCTAAGCCTGAATTATTATACCTTTCAAGCATAACAGGTAGGTATATAATCCGAGCTTGGAAAGCTGTCAATATGTAATTGCTCAGGTATCTTAAAAGTATTGTGTTGATTATTCAAAAACTTGGCATTTTCTTTCTATAAAGTACAAAATTGACCCTTATAAACCTGTTGTTTTGTTGCCAAGGATTCAGTCTGTTGCCTGAGAAATAAACTACTTATTACTACTCATGTTAACAATTCTCCACTAACCTTAAAAAACTTGTCAATCTTTGTGAGATTTATCCTCTTTTTGGCATCTAGTTTATAGATGTTACTGACGCTGCCATCCATCAGGTATAAACCAAAACCCATCACCTAGAAAAAGAACATAGGAACATTACTTGCAGATCAAGAATGCAAGTCTGAAGCATTTTACATTGCTGTTCAACCCAAAGAAGCTTTAAGAAGAATTTGCAAGAATCAGTAACAAGATAATTGTTACATGGAAACTTACAATCCAAGAGACTAAAGATCAGAAAAGAGTAGGAGGGGAAATCGATTACACCAGAAACAATAACAGTAGGCAGCTGGATTTTTTTTCGTATTTAACAAAAATGCTAAAAACGGGAGATATTGTTCTCTGGTAAATGGGCACAATATGCACTGGGATCAATAAAACATGCTAACCAATGTTAGCCTTCTATAATATGCAATTAAATGCTGGGTTATATATACTTTAGAAACTTCTGTGTTAGCTTCTTTGTATAGTCTCTAACTTGTTCAATTTTAAAGACAACTACCACCACTGAGAATAAAATGCACTGGTATTTTCAAAAATTATTATGTTCATTTTGCTAAAAGTCAGTGCAATTAATAAATGCTGAATCAATTTGTTAATCACTGAATCCAAAACATTTACTTCTGCAACTCTTTTGATAGCTATAACCAAATTGTATCGATGTATTCATTCCATTCTGGTCTTTTCATCTGAGGGAAAGGAAAGGGGAAGGTGAAGGGGAGGGGGGAAGAGGAAGGGGAGGGGAGGGGAGGAGAGGAGAGGAGAGGAGAGGAAAGGAAAGGAAAGGAAAGGAAAGGAAAGGAAAGGAAAGGAAAG